ATCGATAATCGAAGCATTTTTGTAAAACGTAAATTGAAAAGCTGGCGATGATCTTTACGTTTCCATTTCGAATCGGATATTTTCGGTAAACGCGTATCGACAAAAGTGCGTTCGAATTGACGCAGAAAAATTCTCGTGGAAAAAAGTGCGATCGACCAGTTACCAGTGATCGAACGATCTCGACTCTGACTAATTCCGTCGAATGAATCATTTTATCCGCTCTCGAAAGAACACGGCCAAAGTGCATCGCACCACAACGAATTGAACTTGAATCTGGACGATACTAATAACAGAATGTCTCCTATTCTTGCATCAGAATTTAGGGATCAAAGTGTATAAACGCAGTAATCGATACGTAGATCTAAAACTATGTAAACACGCTCGAATCTAATTTTCGATGAATCAAAAACACAAGATTGCTCGTTCGAAAGCGTTCGAATGGTGGCATTAGAAATAAAGGAAACGGATTTAGATGGTCCGAGTCTGATTGTACGTCTCGTGTTTATTAACTATATGCATCAGGGAGGATAGGAAACCGCTTTTCTTCCTTCTGGACGCGTCCACGCCCGAGAGAGACGATAAGGAGAACGCGCGTTCAACGAGTCCCTTCCACTGGGTCACGCATGGGAAACTGGAACGGTTTCATCTCCAAGCGGAAGACTCGATTTTTCTCCGGAGGAGAAACCACCGATTTTTCTTTCGATCGACCGTTTCTAGGTTAGAGATGTATCGCTCGTCTATACCACTTACCCGCGATAGTTGCGCGAGTAATGGGAATGGAATAGATGCTATCCGCCGCGCTATTAGAAATCCTCTCGCGGACGTTTCTGCGGCTTCGATCGTCGTTTTGTCGCCGGAGACGTTCCGCCACGGTAATTTCGAGCACGGGAAACCCGGATGGACCCCGTTCCGTCTAATTATTATTTATTTTGGCCTTTTTCGTTCGGCGAGTAGAAAGTCCCATAAACGAACCGTGCTCGAAACTTTTTAGGCGCTCGTGTCGAGTACTTTGTTGGTACAATACTTCGGTTTCGAGGTAATTAAGTTTAAACGTTGAGCATGCAACGAATAGGGAAAGTGCAGTGTATTTGGAGAATTTAAATTTATCTTTAATAGAATTAACCCTATTTTTGTTGGAACGTCTGATCACAGAATTTAATTACGAAAAGAAAAACATCCACTAATCGTTTCTATAATATAAGGGAGCAATGACTGAACGCTACCGAGAATAGAACATCGTGTGTTCAATTTAACGCGAAGTCTGATTGCGGAGAACCAATAATACCTACACGGGGTAAGATAAATAGCGTCTCGCGATAAGGAACAGAAAATTTACAAATATGGAGCGCCTAATGACACATGGAAGTAGCGATTTTATAGCCTTTATCTGAGACAACCAACCACATCCGAGTATTTATTTAGACTTAGCAGCTTTCAAAGCACGATCTCGTATTCACGAGCCTTTGACGTTCCTAATTAAAATTATTTTGATACTCTTATTTACGATCTTCGTATCGTTCACTAAATATTTTACAACCATCCGTTAAACTTCCGAGAATTGAATTTTCTTCCACTCGTGGTAAAACTTTATGGTCTTTTTACATTAGATGCGTAACGAAAGCAATTTTAGCGACCTTTTTTTACAACCATTGAAATATAAAAGAGACTGTATAAGTATTATACCATTCTCAGTGTTTAAATTCGCCTGAGATAAATTGTGAATCGAGTGGCCATAATATTGTCGAATTAAAAAAGATTTTTAAATGGAAATTTAGCGAATATCGATATGAAAAAGTAAACTTTTTGGCAAAGTGCCAGTGAATTCTTCTGTTTGGAGCACTGGTGCAAGCTCCATGTGCTTGGCAAGTTCGGATATCGAATGGAGCGGGTCGCGGCGACGATAACGGCGGGAGCTTACATTCGTTTTATTTACAGTTCGCCAAGAGACAGCCAATATCAGAAATTCTGAAGCGTCGTGGCGTTGACACCGATAAAGAATTCAACCGTTTAATCCCACTCGTCTCTCGCATTTCGGACGCGCGAACGTGTACGGTCTAGAGCTTTTCGGAATTTTCAAAGTAGACAAATGTTACAGGAAGAGTTCAGAAAAAGAAAAGAATATTTATGGGATCGAAATGCACTAGTTTGCGCGATCGAAATTGCCACCTGTCTCATAAATGGAGCACTGGCACCTAAAGGTATCTAATAATATCCAGACACTTGTATGATATACAGTGTAAAATAACGTAAAACAGTCGCGTAAGTCTGGGACAAATCTCACAATTTATTTAAATTTTAAAATCATTCGATAATATTTTTTCTCAATTTTTATTTAACATAACACCTGTTACGAATCGAATAACCCTAATCGTGACCGAATGCGACTTTTGGTCACGTACCAAGTTTGAGCAACTATATGATCACCGAATAAATTCATATAGTAACGACGTATTAAATTTATAATGCTCGAAGAGGGTCGATCTTCGCATCCTGGTTGGATTGGGGTAAAGAGGAACAAGCTATTTCCATTCGATGTGGAAACCCAGCAGAAAAAGTACGAAAAAATTCTTCTGGCTCGTTTCTGGGCGCCGATTTGCGCCAGGGCACGGTTCCGTAAAGGCGAACCGGGTTTCGAAACGCATGGAAAGGTAATCGATACCTCGAAACGCTTTCGAAACGAAGATCCGAGGAAAGACGCACACGCGCGGCCAGCTCGACGCGGAATGCACTCTCATCAAAATACGATTTATCATTTCCGCGAACCACGACGATATCCGGCAACAAATTCTACAGCTCGTCCCTGTCGAAAACCCGCAAACATTTACATCCGTGTCGTTAATCCATTAAACAGCAGCGTTCCACTTACGGAAAACCACTAAATTGATACAAAGATCTGCAGAAATATCGCTGCATAAATTGGACGATCGTTACTAAAAATTATAGAAGTCCAGAATTGATCATTACGCGTGAAATGTTCCAAAATTTCCATTCGCGTTTGGAGCTAGAAAAACGTGACTAATCGTTAGCAGGCAAAGATAAAAAAATAAGAAAAAAAATGCCTCGTCAGCGGTTCTAACGCAAAAACCACCGACATGGCAATATATTTGTCAAGAAACGACAGCGTTTCGCGTGGAGCTTAACGAAGCAGCTCGTCATTGTTTGGCCACCGATGAAGACGAGCACAAACAAACACGTGCGCAAACAGCTCGAGACGCGTTCGTCGAATCTGGTCGGGAATAAACAACCGCGAACGGTATAAATAAATTTTGTCCAACGGGGGCGATAAAACGGAGACGCAGGGTGCAACGACCGACCATCGATTGATAATATTTAAGGCGCGAAGCAACGATGCAGGCGAATAGAGTAACCATAGCGAACAATCGAGTATCGCCGATGACACGACGAAGGTCGGCGGGATTTTACGACCGCGAACTCGCGTGGATTCGTTTAGCGACGCGCATTACACGGTAATATATTTTTTTACAACACCGAACGATAAGGTACCCGTCCACCGTCGTCGCCTCGGGCTTCTTTCGAAAGAGATCATCGACTATCAGTCGCGATAACAGATTTAACAGTCATACGCGCGCCTGGACAACGTTAATTACCGTCACGCCTCGTCTTCTTCTTTTGTTTTTATTCCCCTCCCTTTGTTCCCGTGTACGTGGCGAACAAACAAGACGGGGAACATCGAGGAACAATACCGTCGAGCAACGCAAACGCTGTTATCGTCGGGGAAAATGGAGATCGTGCGAATAATTTAAAAAAAAATTCAACAAGTAGCCTGGCCGCGTAGAAAAATCGAACGTTCGTGGTGATTCTTATCCCGTTAAATACCGAATTATATTTTTGTCAAGATCGACGTTCGCTATCTAGAAAAATCACGCGATGTTTCGCTAAACTTTAATGCACGAAACAATTTCTTTTAATAATCCGCAATTACAACGCCCGATATGTATGGAAATGGGTTACACGTGAATTTTGAACAACTTTTTAACGCTAGCAAGCACGTTTCTGCATCGGAAATTAAGTTTTTAAATTAGTACCAAAATTAGTCGATAGAATGCAATTTTTGTCGGCGTTCGTAAAGGAAATCGAACGTCTGTTTGATCGAATATAGTACTCGACAAAATGGAGTAATAACCTGTACGTCGACGGAATTTATTTCGCTGCCTTGTTTCTCAATTTTGGTTTAATCGCGTCTCCGTTCGCGCGTGCAATTTGTCAAACTGACTGTCTATATGTCTCCCGTTTAATGATGCAAATTGTCAAGTTAGAAGAAGATTTATGCTACTTCGTAATGACATTGTACGCGCGTGTGTTAGACAGGAAGTTCGCGCAGAAGTCGAAGAAATCATTAATCGAATTCGTCTTTTCTTCTTGTTATAGATCCGCGACGCAGAACAACTTCTATTTACAATATTTATGTCTCGTAAACTTGTCCCACTTTTATAACGATGAATGACTAATTCCCGCATTGCAATTCGCGTTTCCTTGCCTTTTTTTGCTCGTTTTGCCAACAAAACCTTGCGCGTTTAGCGTAGTCGTTGATTCCCCGATATTCGAAAAAGGAACTCCAAAAACCGTTAATACCTGTTTCGGATATCTGACAAGCTATAATTAATTATGGTATCGAGAATTCTAATATAAAATACTGTCTTTTACGCTACTTGCTTTAAATGCATAAAAAATATAAAGGTATCGAGAATTCTTCAACTTCTACGCAATATGTGCTTTCTGGCTCAGACGGTGGGATTAAACAGAGTTCCTAAAACGATCGAGCCTGACTCGAACACGATCGCTAAGACGTATAAAGAGTCGAAGATACGAGCGAAAACGTTTGGTAAAAATAATTGGTATAAAATAGACGATTGCTTTTCCCGTGGAATAAATAGAGCCTGTATCCTCTAAATATTCCAAGCTAGAAAGCCCGTGGTGCAACGTTCTCTCCGGCGACGGAGGACAGGTGATCATGCATGAAACTCGTGAAAGGCACTCACCTGGGAGCATTGATGATCGGTCGGCCCATTGCCCGTTGCTGGCGCTTCTCGTTACTGGGAAGGCGCAGGTAATCTTGGTCGCCAAAGAGGAACAGATCCTTTGAAATAATCATGTCCACCGTGTGGTTGCCGGTTATAGCTGCCCGCCTCTCCCTCTTATCTTTCTCTCACTGCCGAACACCACTGGCTGAACAACGCACGACGACGACAACCACGACGCCAAACGCGGAGCGAATATTCTCACTGTCCCGCCACCTAAATACGTCCACCGACGCGACCCGAAACGACGAAGATGATGCACCGCGACGACAACGACGCTCACTCTGCTGACTGGCGTCAGCAACGGAACATTTTCGCACGCGACTGCCGCGACTCGACGTCGACGATGACTCGCGATCCGCGTACTTGTTCGCGAGCATCAAGTCCCACCGAGACGATCGACGCTATCCCGGGGACCCGTTAATCCCTGTCTTCCGGGGACCGAAAGATCGAACAAGCTATACGGAAGAACGTCGCGTTCACGAGCGTGTCTGGGTCGGTCAAACGTCGGAACGATTTTAAGTCTCTAAAGTTCTCTTTGGCGCGATCATCTGGACACGGTGACGATTCGACGCGAGAGAGGATTGGTACGGATCGAGAGTTTCCACGAGTGAAATTGCACGGCAAAGTTCGCGGGGTAATCGCGTCAGAAACGTAGCGCGGAGACTTTTCCTTCCCTCTCGGAGCTTCGGTTGAGGTCGTCTGAAAAATAACAAAGCACAACATGATTTTCGCGAGCTAGGTTTCGATCGGGGAGGAAATGGAACTTTCGAAGTTTTCAACGGGAACGTCGACACGATAATGTTTGAACGATTGTCTCTTCGAGACTGACGCTGTTCGATACACGGTCGAGTTTTCCTTGATATTGAGGAAAATAGGGCATTCGGTATTTTATTAATTCGGTACGTGACCACCGATTCCAAACATTTTTATCGCCGATAGCATAAGTGCTTCGGTTTAAATCGCGTTATCTAAGCGTTATCGAAACAAGTTTAGTAACTTCTACAGTTTCTTAGCTTTAATCCTACTTTTACCTAAGTGGGTTAGATTTTTTTTCTCGCGGGCTTCAATTTTCAGTAAAAGAAATATACTAAACAAACGTACCAACACACAGTTTGCTTTTCGAATTTGATAAAGGAGAATGTGCTACGCAACTGTTGCGATTATCTACAAAATTTATGGCAGCATTCTTTCCCGAGCCGAGAGACTGCTATTTGACAGGAATCTTATCTACGTACAAAATTTTGATTTATCCGCTACTCTTTAAATAAGAACTGAAATTTCAATAATGAAGGGAAGCGTTTCACAATCGGTAAATAAGAGTTCAATTTTAAAACGTGTCAAGGTTCGATCAGAGTCCCTATCTACGAGACGAGACACCATTGTCTCTACTAATAGGAAGATACGAACGATCGGATAAAGAAACAAACCCAGAAATAATAGACGTTCGAAGATAATATTGGATTAAACGATACGTTAACGGAGGCTGATCGACGAACGAACCTGCAGCTTTTAATCGTCGTTCGTGAATGAAAGTCGGGGATCAAAGTTCGGAGAAAAAGGAATACGCGAAGGATCGTCGCGAGAGGCAATGTCAAGTGTCTCTATTTCGAAGCGCAGATAGAACAAATCCTCGAGCACGTTCTCGCCTCCTGCGCACCGAGAGACAATTTTAATGCGGCCTACGGGTTGTAAGTTTAGAATTACGAGCAGTTCATTCCGCCGCGGCGTATCTGATATTCGCGTAGAATGCCGCACGTTGCAACGAATGCCTCGGATACGTGCTCGCGAGTAGCCGCAGCATCGCGCTCGCGCGTTCATTCATGATCGTCTATTACTACTGCCGAAGGTAATCGTGTCTGGGTAGGTAATCCGTTACCACTGACGAGGCCAGTAAAAACAGAACGAAGTTTTCCCATCGCGAAAATACCGGCTGCGAGATGTAACAGCGCTCCCCCTAAAAAACACACTGCTATTCTCAACGCTACGATATGTAAATAACGAAAATTTATATTGCTCTAATATACGAGGGTCGATAATAACGTCTTCGATCCTACAAAGTATGTTTCCTTCGATGAAACAAAGTAACTTTGTTATACTTGAAACGTACATATTTACTTTTACTCACCATTCGTCAAGAAATTTTCTCGCAGAAAATATTGACTCTGCAATTGTTTTGTGTACGTTAAAAATTTTATGGATTTGGAGTAATTACTTGAACTTCCTCCGCGCGCAGTTTGCATCGCGTCATTTTGTTCCGAGGAGAGAAACGCATGTTTGTTATTGTTCCGTAAAAATGTAATTCACGCGGCGCGAAAAAAAAATCGAAGCGTAAAGCTTGTACGTGGAAGCATTCTACCGTGCCCGAAGATATTCCAAACAAACGTTCGCGAACGTAAATAAAAAAGTGCTGCCAACATTCTTCCGAAGCGCGACGACAAAGAGTCGTCTCGAAAACTTCGATTTGATTTCGCGAAACAGAAATGCATGTAAACGCTTGAAGAGCCGAAACTACACGCTAAAACAAGCAAACATTGTGTCGATGTTTACTCCTTGCGGCATTTAAAATCGAACGAGACTATTCGAGGGCCACCTGATATTTTCCAAAGATATCCTATAATCGTACGTAACTCGAGAAGCAAAGTACTTGGGACGTTCGTTCGAACGACATTTCTTACTTCGATGCATAGATCCGACTCATTAAGTATTTACATGTATTTCTGAAACACGCTGTATATATGGGTCACCTATTTCCGTCCAAGCAGCGTATCCGAGCTGCAGGCTCGCGTCGATCAGCTTCCGAATTCTTCGCATAATCGCTCGACTATCGCGCGTTAGATCGGCGTTATTTATCAAGCGGTATTTGTTGCCCGTTTAACGCGGTTGGCGCGCGCGCGCGTGTAACGAAGACGAAAATGGCGGGCTGGGTGGTTAAAGAGTAGTGGGAGGGAGCAGCGAGTGCAACGGTCGTACGTTGCGTTTGAAGCTGACGAAGTAAATCGAGCGGATATACGCCGCGCTCATGAGAACTCGTCCCATATTTACATCGCGCCAATTTTCACCCGCCAACTGTTGGGCATTAGTCACGGATGAGTGACGCGTATACGACGCCGGGCATCTCGACGCAGGATTTCGACGATAGTCCCTAATTAGTTGATTGGTATTAGCTCGTTCGCGGGGGCAACGGCGATTTTGATTTCACGGCCGCGGGCTCGAAACGAGCGCCACACCGATCGCCGGTTAAACAGCGTTTTCCATTTCCGTTCCGGCGGCGATTTCGTCAAGCGTGTCAACCTTCGAACGTGAAATTAGTACCAATGCGACTAGGAGAGCTAGGTGCGCGCGACGACGGTGTCTGCGTATCGACGCTCGAGCGTCTCGTAGCGCTGTGATCGAAATCGAGAACGTTGTGGAAGGTTATGGCACGCTCGTTGCGAAAATAGTACCGTTAATTCCGTGTCTCTCTCGAGCGACGATCGACGACACGTAATGACGAGAAGTGGATAAACGAATTTAGCTTGGACCGATGTTTCGTCGTCGTTGTTGCGATGTTATAGTCGTGATCGATCCAGGTTTCGCGTTTCCGTGTATTTTCCGCGCGGTTTGTTTACATATCGCAGGGGGGGAGGGAGGAAAGTTGCAAGACACACCGAGGTATTTTAGAGTCTTAACGTACGGATCGATACGTTATAGAAAGCGTACGGTGTACACGGTATCTTTTGAATTTGTTAATAAGCCTAGGATATCTGCAGCAATGTGTATTTTATCAATGACAATATACGATAATTTAGCGCAATTATCTCATCGCGAGTTGTACGTCTCGTATCGCGAGTTGAACGATCTCGTCCATTAAACCGTAAAATCAATGAACACCAGCGGCTCGATAGCCGCAAACGAGATTACGACTTCGAATTTCGATGACCGTCCACTCGACGATTACCACCGCTTACATCTGGTATTTATAAATACGCTTCGAGGTATACCTCGACACCTCATCTGAACGTGCGCCATTCAAACGAGACATTCTTCTGCGTTCTAATAACGTTTTTACGGTTTCTAAACTGTTTACAGTCTATGAAAACACGTGTTACCGTTTTAGTTTACACCGCTCTGCGGAATTGAACGATCGACCGCTCCATAAAGTACTCGATGCTTTAAAAGCTCCAATATAACATGCATGCTGGCCTATTTTAACCTAATAAATGGATGTGTCTCGGAAAATACGTTGAATCGAACGAGCATTAAACGGTATCGACAGAGCCGCGCTCCGATTTCACGGAGAAAAATCGATAAGTGGAAACGTCAAGAACGTTTCATGGTCACTTGCGTTTTCTTTTCGAACGAGATCTCTGTTCTTTCGTTTGTTCCAAGCATTTTAGTTAATTCTCCCAAACGATTAAAAAATGTAGTCTGTTTCTATTCAGCTGTACGTAATTATCTCGATTCGTTTTTCCGCTGACATTGTTCCCAGTCAGAAAAAACGATTGTTTGTTCCGTTGAATAAACTAATCGTCGTACAATTAAGTGCATTAGAAAGAGCGTGTGCGCGAGCAAGTGAAACAACGAACGACAATGCGGGGGGAGAAACTAATTTGGTACGGACAAAGGAAACGTTACATAAACAATTGAAACGACCGTTTGACAGTGCGACTACGGCCGTGTGACTTAATTTTTCTGCTTTCTCGCCGACTAATTACCTCGCAATCGTACGCGTGAGCGGGTCAAAAACACGTACTTATCCTGATTTACTTGATTAGAATACACAAGTCAGCCGGTTGGATTTGTTCCAAAACGAAGTTGTTCCTTTCAACGCTACAATCGTCCGGCCTAATCGGTGTTTTCGACCATCAGAAATCAAACACACACCTAATTGAAATAGCCCGCCGTCGAATAGACGTGTCATAACATTTTGGAGCGATTGCTACTCGCATCGGTTAAACGTCGTCTCGCGTGCATCGTCGCTTTCAGTTGTCACCGATTTGAATGCAACTAATAATATAATTAATATACTGCTCTCTAAACGTTCACGATCGAAATATCCCTTTATCTTGCGGTGAACAAATTTTGATAAACAAAAACAAATATAATAGTTTGTATCTTTTTTTTCAAATGCAATATTTTTTGTAGAATATAATAAACTTACTGTTTATTTTTAATGATCGTTTTGTCTTGAAAAATTTGCAGGTCCAGTTGTACCAATAAGAAAATCTAAAACTTATAGTCTCTAATGCCACGTTGTGTAATCTTTATCCTAGTTTCTTCCTATCAATCTGTCCCTATTTAAGTAGTTTATCCGAATTTCGAGAAGCGAACCATAGCAATAGCGGGAGCACAAAGATAAGGTATTGTCGACTCGTGGCAAAGTCTGCCATTCATTGATTAGATATGGAATTAGAATTTTAACGAGCAAAGTACCAAAATGGCTCCACTTTTAAGACAATAATACCAACAACCTGTAATGTTTATCCTATTTTTTTTTAATGTTTGCTGCGCTTCGTAATTGACCAAATTTTTGAAGAGGAAAGATTGCCTGTACCAGGACAAGCGCTCAATTAAGTGTTATTATTAAAATTCGATGGGAATAATACCTACGGTAGGTAAGGTCCACGTTATTGGCGATAAGGTTATTACAAGAGGGCGAACGTGTCCTTCGTTTCTTCGTCCTCGAACGTAAAAGAACTCATTTTTACAACGAGAGAATATCTGGCTCCGATAATATCGTCGAATCACGCGTGAAATATTTTCGATAACACTCTCGATGGAAAATCGTACGCTTCCGCGGTGAATGCTCGACAAATTTGCTCAAATATTGAACTTGGTTTCCAGATATTTTCGACCGATAAACTTGCTCGCAAATCCCATGGTAATACATTTAGAACATCGACCTATCGACTGCGGAGAAAACTAGCGTTCTTTCATTATCGACTAAAATATCGAAGTTATTATATCTCGCATGTCGCAAGAATCCAAAAAAGAAATAGGCTTATTATCTAACCTGGGAAAATGAGTGTCCACGGTTAAAAGAGAAAAACACCTCGAACGGCGTTAAATATCCTTCGAATCGCGATCGAAATATTTTCCTAGAACAAGACACTGACGTACGAACAACCTTCGAACGAGAAAACACCGGTCGCAGTGAATGACCCTACGCCCTTGATATCCGCCAAATGCGTTTACTCCGTTTAAGACTAAAATTTAAAACGACCGTGCACGGCCGAACGAAAGTGGAACGTATTATTAAATACCGTGGAAGTGAAAAATTAGGTCGGTTTGATGCTGCCCGTGATGCATCGGTACGATCTTGCGAACGAGAATTCTTAAAGAGGCGCGTACGTGTAGCGACATACGTCAAGCGTTCTCGAGAATCGAAATAATCGCGGCTCGAAGGTATTTCAGAAATTTCTGATACGGTGCGCGACACGAACGTCGTCGGAGGTTCGATCCTCGTTAGTTTACGGATCCCGCGGGACAAAATGTAAAACTAAATATAACCTATGAAACCGGCGTACTCGATTCGAGAGATTTACTCACCTAAAAACGACCAGCGATCCCAGTGTTCCTCGTTCTTATCGCAGCTTCGATCGAGGCGCGTCCTCGATCGCACAGATGCCCGAAGAGTACTTCAGTAGGTCTCGAGTTCGATGTTGGCTGTAGCCGGTATCTTCGGTCTCGTCGTCCTCGGCGTCGTCCTCCTCGTAGCTCCTGTCACACATGCACTGTGCACCGGCCACGAACATGCGGCCATTGCGCGGCACGCAGTCAATGAACCCGCATTGCTTTTCACCCGGAGTCTTTGCGTTTTTTTTTTCCCTTCTTAAAGCCCCGCACGCACTATCGCGCCGGCCTCTATCCGCGGATCTTCGGCCGCACACTCACGACATATATTCCGGTGGCGGTTTTGCACGAGGAACACCCAACCCTCCCGGTGTCACTGGCTCTCTTGCCTCTTCCTGCACAGTGTCGTCGCGGTCTGTCTCTCTCTCTCTCGCACTCGTTCACTCTCTCACTCTCTTTCTCTGTCTCTCACCCTCTGAGGCTCTATGGTGTGTGTACGTGTATGCGATACGCGGGTGCGCACGCGCGTGTTCACGTCTCTCCTCTGGCTTTCGCACGTGTATATATACGTGTGTGTACGTCGCGACGAGAATCCCTTTCTGTCTCTCTTTTATTTTTCTTACTCCCTCTTCCTACCTTCGTACGGTCGTTCAGTGACCCGCTATCTCTCTCTCTCTCCCTCTCTCTCTCTCTCTCTAACACCGATGCACCCCGACTCCGATTTTTCGCCGGCTTTTCTCTCCCGACTGGTGATTACGGCCCGGCCGAAAGAGCGAGATACAAAATAAACAGGGGTTGAACGTTAGATACGGAATAAGGGATCGCGGTGTCGTATCACGCACACTCGCTCTCACGCACGACTGACTCGTACCGGAGTCTCGTGTCCCCCCGAGTTTCGACCACAGCTTCGCGACGCGACACTCGCGGCGGTCGGATGCAGACTGAATCGGACGCTACGTGTCCCGCTCGTGTATTGCCGGAACGTCCCTCCTGTCCACCCTCCCTCTTTCTCGTTCGTTCTCTTTCGCTTCCCCCTATTTACTTCTATCCGCGGTGGCTATCAGCTCGTGCCAGACCCCAGGCTCATTTTTACTGACGACGCGCGAATGCATAGCTAGAACGGAAGGGAGGCTTATTCTCTCGAAAATCACCGAGGATCGTTTATCGAGTTAACTTTCTGATTATGGTTTTCGTAAACAGACCCGGGAAACGTATTTAACGTCGATGAAATAATACTTCGAACGGGACGCGGGAAGTTAACTTTAGACCGAGCAATGTTTCGATCGTGTATGCTCGCGTCCTCGTAATTGGAAATTAATTGGCCACATAACAAATGCGAATATAACATAATCCAATGGAAGATTAATGAGTAGCAATGAAAATCATTATTTTCATTAATGGGATACTTAATTATGAAAGGTTTAATTCTATAATTCAAATTGTAATTGTTATTTAATAAGTAACAGATAACTAATTGTTTAGTTACCTACATAGAAGTTTTGCCCTGCTCTAAGTCTAGGCAACCCGTCTTACACCCAAGTGTAAAAGGCGAGACACATATTTCGATTTCAATTTTATTTAATTTTTCTATATTTACGTGTTATTTCTGTTGTATTTTATTTATTTAACGACTTTATTCGTCAAATAAAAGCCAAAAGCATAATGCACATACAGTAGACTATGCAGATTGAAAGAGCAATGTTAACGAGTAAGACAATTGTATAACCTAACTCAAAATTCGTATATTTCAAGTTAAAAAATAAAATACTACGGTAAATCGATATAAAAGTACAAATATGTCATAAAAGAGACGTGAAGCCGTATAACTAAGCTTTGTTTTTACCAAAAAGAAATACAAAACATCAGAAATACTGATCATTGTTTTCTAATCGATAATTTGCATATTAATATAGCATAATATTTAGTTAGTTGATTTTGTATACATTTGATGTAACTAACAGGAGATTATAGGTATTTTTCAAAAATTTATTTCCTAATTGTATTACAAAATTCACGATATTTCTGTTTGCATTTACTTGTACTTATAATCATCATTATAATGCAGAGAAAACTAACGAATTAGATTATTTAAACATATTTAGTGATTTATTCTACAGGGATAATTACATTATTTGTAAAATAAATTACTAAATTACATTTTACTGTGGTCTTAGAAATCATCTTTGCCCTCTTTGATTAGAGTGGGAAAATCCCATTTCCCCATTTTTTTGGCAGACAAAATCTGTAATCATACTATAATCAGCAAATAGTATTAATACCTATACTTATCACCTATACTTAATCATAAATATTGTTTACCTATTGGATTCTGAGCTCTTTCACTACGCTATAATTGCACACTATAGAAGACAAAATTTATACAAAATATATTTGGAGGCACTTACTTCTTCCATCATTCCTTTTGCCAATACGCTATTGGTAGTTTTAGCTGCAATCATGCAACCAGAGACAGTTGCAGGTATGGTGGTACTTGTACACAAAGACTTAAGAAAAGTTGTCGCTTTGGATTCAGGTTCCATTGTCAACAGTTCCTATATACAAACCTAGGTGTATTAGATACATTATTCTGTAAGAATATAAATTGTTTAGTGAAATAGCAGTAAAACTACACTAAGATCTCAAGATTCTTGTATTTGTTAAATTAATACTCACTCTCCATGATCAATTATACTACCTTCAACTTTTCTCGTAAGAACTAAATCTGTTACTTTGATATTTGTAGACTGTCGATGTGCACTTGATTTCATCTGCATTTTGTCGTTCGGCTCGCGAAGGTTTAGTAATTCTGACAATTGGTATGATATACTACATACATCAATAACACATGAACGTACAAATTGCACGTAAAAAAAGAATTACATTACGACAATAACACGTATTACACTTTAAATAATCAAACTAAACGCAAACCACATAATTTGTTCTTGCATCTAACGCATGGACGAACAGGACCAACTTCACGTAACAAGTATGCAAACGTATAGAGAAAAATACCTAACCTGAATACAACTTCATGTAAGAAAGTTACTGCACGTTTCGTTATAATGCAATAAAATCCATTTCTTTTGTATACTTAGAGGGTAATTAGAGATTAAGTTTAGATTAAATTCGGTATTCATTTAATATTCCGGTTGGATGCAATGCTTTTTTTCTGTTATACGGATTGGAGGTTCGCGAACTTCCGACGTTATCGGTTCGTACCAGAAGTCGTATTTAGCACTTCCAGTGTTAGGAATTAAGACTAAATATTGAGAAAACTTAATTATTTCTCAAGTAATCCAAATTAAATCTCAGGAGTGGTACAATTCTACTTAACATAAACCATTTATAAATTATCGCAAGGAAACATGTAAGTTCTCTTACCATTTCCGTATAGTCACAAATCAGGCATACCTCGTATGGTAAAATTACGTTATCGGTTCAGACTAGAATACGACTTTTGCACTCTTAGCGTTTGGAATTTAGATTAAATATTGAAGGCAGTAATTATTTCCACAGCAATTAAAATCAAATAACAAAAGTGGTTCCAAGTGAACTCGAACGTATAGGCCACATTCTACTTTTGAAATTAGTTTCTCAGTTTTCTTTTAAATTTGTTCTGTTATATTCTATTCGAGAAGCAAGCAAAGAAAATACAAGATTATTATTCCGTTTAACGTGTAAAATTTCAAAATATGTGCATTTAGTCAAGAATGTGTATCGGAAATCCATTATTTTCTAGGATTCACGAAGGCAAACCTGACAGATTGTAAACTTTACAATGAAAATCCATAAACACGGAGATTTGGAAAGCTGGTAAGCAGACAAATTTGTGAATACATTGATGAAATATGTAGATACTTGATATTCATAATATTCGAATAGTACGATGTGGTTTATAAATGAAGTTTTGTAAATCCATCATTCTTTTTTATATTTTCTTTTTATTCAAGATATTTTACTAATGATATTCTATACAACATTTCTATTTTGATAGAGGAAAACTAACATATTTACATATTTTGGCTGTAAGCATTTAGGTTTCATTTTGTAGTTACACGCAATGTTTTTTGTTGTTGTAAACAGTCTTTTCACGGAAGATGTAGTGATAATATTTAGAAAGCATTTTGTCTTTACTTCACTTAGAGAAACAAACTGATTTATTATGAAATTCAAGTATTGCAGAATTAATCTTATGTTTTCAGTACTTGTGTCTAGGTTATATCGATCGGAATGTATTCTCAAAACGTAATGCAAATTTAACAAATAATAGTTTAATCCTTAAATTGATAATTTAGTTACAAAAGAATAGGCAGAAAGATATCTACATCAATCAATCATTTCTTTATAAATTTGGATGTTTTGCCGCCAAAAGAGCGCAGTCTGTACTAAATTAGGTTATAAAAACCTTAACGACATTATGCATATTTGAAAAGGACCTAACATAAGAGATCTTAAGATTATACAAGAATTTTGCGATAGTATTAATATTCAACAATAACTGTCATCTGTATTAGATGTATGATACGTTGTATACGTATGTATAGGTAGTCTGTTTTACATATGAGTAATAAGATAAAGGATAATACTTATAATTTAAACAATTACATACCGATGAGTCCAAAGGCCTGTCTTAAAATTTAAAAAAATATTGTAAAAATACTTTGATCGGTCCATCACTAAATAGTTATTCGATATTTGTTTTATAAATAAATTAAATTTAATTAAAAAAATTGAATCATTTATTTCACATATTCCATTCAATTTTGAGAATGAATTCCGACACGTATAATCTAGACCTGGCGAGTGTTACGAAATAAGAACTGTCAACAGCTCCATCATATTTTAACTTTGATTGCGTTACGACGTCTTCGATCGATCGTCAAAGGCCAATACGAAATTTTAATAAAAATTATATACATTAACGTTAATCGTAACACATGTTCGATAGAAATTTTTAGAATAACTGTTATTTTATTCTCCTTTAACTTTACACATTAGATAATAACATAAATTGAAACTTAAAAAAAGAGTCAGGTTTCGAGGCTTCAGTAAATAAAACATACGTTCGGCTTCAAATGGATGGAAAACAAGTACTGCACGCGGGCAAAGTTCAAGTAAAGGTTTTATTGAAATATAAGGAATCTGTACCAGACAGAACTAAAATTACCGTTGAATTTGGTACTACCGGGGTTCACATATCGTATATGCCTGCGTAATCGCTGGGTTATCAGTTTTTTTTTCCCATGTGTATCGTATAAGTAGTCTGAATATTCTATAAGTACAGAAACAATATCGAAGGTACGCGCACAGTCTATCTCAAATTCTAAAGCTAAAAAGGATCTCCTCTAGACCTGCAGTTGCGATTTACATTTACAACTTAAAGGGGTTTTCGCTTCATCTATTTACAATTAATAACTGAAAGGTCTAAAGCTAACGCAAGTTTCTCGCTCCTTTATCATAGTGTGTAAGTTTCTGCCTATTTACACTTTTTACAGAATTCCATTTCTCAATGTACAATATTACATTACAACAATTTAAATGTATATTCGATCCCATGCAATTTTCATCGCAAGGGACCGCGACCTAATTGTACACAAATAGCCCCATTTTTAAAAAGATAAATCGCTATTTTAGATTGTACAGTCTATACAAAATATTAAGCGGTCTTAGGAACACTTTGTCCACGATAGTGTTTCCAATGCTTTAAATTATAAGAAGGCTTCTTCTGCCTAATGTACCACAGAAATGTTTAATTGATCCAGGCTTCGTTAAAGGGACGCATTGCGTACACAGTCTAATAATACTATATTAAAAACGTAAAAACCTAAAAACTTTTATATTAGTTACAATAAATAAGCAACATATATGTTTTAAGTTTTATACTTATATTATTTAACTATATCACGGATTTACTGGTTCTGAAAGTGTACGCGAACTGTACGGTGCGAAATCGTTAAAATTAAATGATGCTCGAATAGCGTGTAAGTTCGATAAGATTAGAATTTGGTTGTTGTACTCAATTTATGTTCGAGATGACCGTTCGAGGTAGGAACATCTATTTGGTGACATACTCGACAACACATCTAGAAATAAAATTACGCTCTCAGGGTACGCGTGAAGGTTCTTCGATACCGTTGGGATTGAATCGCGCTCTGCGTTCTCATTATTTTTATCTCATCGAATACTTTATGCGCAGTCAGTCCTTAAATAGAAATGAAAAACATTTGACGGTATAAAAAAAAAATGCAACAGCTAACATTAAATAACACGAAATCAATTCATAACAAAATTAGAAACTGATGAAACACGTTACAGGTTACAAAGTCATTGCGTGCTATGCCGTCGACAAACATGCATTGCTTTTTGCTTTCTGTGCATTAAAATCTGTGATGTTACAACAACTTGAAGAAATCAATGTGTTTATGCCTCTAGATGAATCTAACACCTACTAATGAATGACATCACCTTTCGTTTGTGACACGATATTATTCGCTAAAAGAACGGAAAAACAAATTAAATATTTATCAGTAAATACAATATAATATCATAATGCTGAGAAATACGTTGTCAAGATAAACAACCTTGGTTTTCTTATACTCGAAAAATTTTTTTTTTTTTCGCTTCGAACTCGCTTCTACAAAGCTGCTTCCATATTCTAAAAACGAATTAGAAAAATATTTCTTTCCAGATCTGTACTATTTATCATAGTAAAATTCGAAATTAACTAATTTCACACAGTTTCCTCTGCAGAATTCTAATAGAAGCGGAAATGCAATCAATGAGAAAATGTATTATCCTCTAACGTTGTTTCAGATCTTTAGTACAGTTAAGGTCTATCAAGCGTTTTAAAATGTATAAGTGTACATCGTACAACGCGACAGTAATCCATAAAGTTATCGTTCCTCGTGTATAATCATTGTACGATGACTAAGGGTGTGCAAGAACCCGATGGTCGGGACGAATCGGGAAGAGGTCCAGTCGAGACGGGCCCAGTTCCCGAATATTTCGAGATTCCCGATAATGTTTGAAATCCTTAAAAAGAATTCGTGATGGACAACATTCTTTCAATGTCTTCTGCCAGTTTTCGACAAGTTATTGGAAACACCGACTCTAAGAATCATGTGACTTGATGTAAACAAACGTGTGACTGCGTGCTTAGTACATACTTGGGTATTGTGTACACACTGTTCATCGACTTCTCGGGATTTTCGGAAGTCCTAAAAATTCGAGAATCTCGAAACTTTCGGGTACCCGTCCCAATCCCGAAAAATATTCGTGTTCCCGACCCGACCCGATATTTCGGGTTCTCGTACACCCCCAACGATTACGGTCTTACTATCTTTGTTGTTGATTTACACGTATTCCCTTGCAATACTGAAGCTGACTATTAAATTTTCAGTTTTAATAAAATCCACGAATATCGCGTAACGATGAATCGAATTTGAGGCTCACGTTTCTATTTTTCTGTTGGCTTTTGGAACTTCACACGGAACGGTACAGTACCGGAAACTGAGCGGCGAGTTTTCTCTCGATATCACTCACCCCATCAATCCTCGACGATCCGCGAAGTCCGTTACTTAGAAAAGTTTAATCGCTTGGTACAGTCAATATATTCTCGGCTTACCACTCGACATGTGAAAATAATTTATATTTACAGTAGTTCGATAAAATTCACAGTAAAGGTCTCTATTCGTAGTACGTTAATAGATATCGCTTTTCGGATCCCTCTCCCGGAAGAATCCTTTCTCAGTCTTACACTCCCTGATGGTAACGGTTTTAAGGTTCACCGTGACGTCTGTAATGAACACCTGATCGGCGACTGGATTCCTCGCGTGCCAGTAATCCGTACCAGGGCTGGAGAGAGGGACGTACACGTCTGTCTTCGTGATTTCAGTTTGTTTTATACTCGACGTATTATTATTGTTAGTATTGTTATTATTATTGTTATGGTTGTTGTTATTATTATGACTATGATGCCCGTTCACGACAGTCGGTAACCTATTGTTGTTCGTGTAAGAGTCCGTAGGGCTGGGCGATTTATGACCGTTCGCGTCCACAGTCACGGCCCCGTTCGACTTCTCTTGTTTTTGTTCCGACAAATGCCTCTTTTTGGTAGGCTGTTCCAAAGGTGTATCTATCTGCGGAGATAGGGGTGCCGGCGGTGCACGCGGTAGCGAGGGTGGTGGACCGTGTGGTACGTCCGCCTCAGGACGTTTTTTGTCCTGCGCCGCTGGTGCTGGCGTCGTTGGTACCGCTGGCGACGGTTCCTCCGGCGTGGACTTCACGCTGGACGACGACGGCCTTCTACCATTAATTTTGTGACTCTGAAACAAACGAAACCCATGAGATAAATTACTCTTTCTCTCTTCTTTCAGCCCTAATTCGGAAGATAAATCAACACTCACATGATAAGGAGGAGACGCAGGATTAGTCTTCAGAGGTAATAACCGAGGGATTTTATTTGGCGGCGGACTTCCACTACCGCTGCTTGGACTGCTCGTGGTAATGGTAACGCCGATTTTCCCCGATTCTTTGCTGAGAACCTCAGCTTTTCTTTTTGTACCCGTTGGTTCTCTCCTTGGCAGCAGGGGACTGTCCACGCTACTATTGGAGCTATCTGAATCGACGTTAAACGAGGATGCCAATAATTCCGGAACCGTGGGTGATTCGTGCCCATCGAGGGAACTTGGAAGCGTATCTTCGTCAGGTGCAACGGGATTCAAACGGGCAGCTGATGTACTACCGGTAGTCGACTCGTCTTGACTATCTTCGCCGACTCTTTCGTCTCCACCAGGTTCTTCTTCGACAACTAAATTGGCCAGAACTTGTTCCTGTAAGTACGAAAATACATGTTTATGCATTAATATGAAAGATATTAATTGCTACAAACAATTATCCGCGTTCAGTTAATTCATTCTAAACTGAAAGATAACAATAACCGCTATTTGTTTATAACATATTAATGATCTACTTACATTGTACCTGGCATCCCTCCGCCTAGGTCTTCTTGTAACAACCACTTCCCCACCTCTTAGACTTTCTTCGTATAATTCGATTAACCTGACGTCTAATATGTTCTCTTCCGGTTCCCACGTGTTGTATCTAAAAAGAGGAAGAAAGTTATATTCGCAACTTCTTTGAATGGACCTATTAATGATTCGATCGCTTCTGTAGACTTACTTTTTACTCCATCCTTTCCATTTCACAAAATACTCCACTTTGCCCTGCAACAGAACAGAAAATAGCTTGCTTACACAATGCAATTATAAAAATAATTACAAAATGAAACAAATTATGGGTAACGGTATCGCGCGACAAGTTTCTCCAATAATTTAATTCTACTCGATTCGAGAGATATTCGTTTATGTTTCGTCGTCAGTACTCCATTCACATTCGTGTTTACTAAGTCATTCCTCTTTTGCGCGCCAAAAGAATTGAAAGAACAATTTAGAATCCATTTTGATCTTTGTCTATTGAACTAACAAATCGTTCTAATCCTTTTAAATTTGATAGATTGTATCGTACATATGTACACACGGATTTTACAGTGAATTAAATAAAGTAAACTCGAAATCTAGTGTATTAAGAAATCTGGATGGAGAATAAATCTACTCCTAGTCGAATTATCGAATATGCATAACCTATCAACCGGCGAGAAAAAGCCTTGGCGCCGACGTCGAAATCGAACCGATCGCAAAGATCTGTTTCGCGCGTCTGCGTCAAAGAGCAGCAGATCTTCGAATCCATCTCATAGCGTACGGTCGATAAAACGGGCGGCGTTGACTTCCACGAGAGCCGCTCATACTGCTCACCTATTGGCCGTCGGCCAACGAACGAAAGCATGCCGACCGGTCGTGGTGCGCAGCCAGTGTGACAGTTGGAAAACAATGACATAACTGTGCAGGTATAGGACACGTCGGTTTATCGCGCATGAGCCGGTCGCAGCTGAGAAGTCTCTCGCGTGTTTTATGTCGATTTACAACGTTGCCAGTCTCGACGTGTCGTTAGTGTACTCCAAAGATCGCCGGTACACGATAGAGACATCAATTTTTGCGCAGATCACGAAAGTTTAAAAATTCCATACGTCAATACCAAAGACCCGTACAATGTATTAAACTCTTGGATGCGTAACGTATGATTTTTTTGAGAATTCTTTGTCCGCGTAAAAGAGCAACGCATCTTGTCAATGAATTTTTCGCAGAATTGTTATCAATCTTATACTCCTGGACGTATATTTTTGTCAAAGCATGCGTGCGCTTGGAGAAAATGAAATGTCTCTTATAAAAAATGAGTATACGTTGGTAAAAACGTGTCTATTAAGGTTCAACGAGAGATATCGGGAAGCATCGTGCAAGGTAGAAATCGCTACGGGAGGGGCAGAATCGTCGGAACGATAGTGGGAAAGAGAAAGAGATCGTGAGAGGGGAGGAAGTGGCAACGGCGCATAGACAAACAGATTCCATGTTGTGGCGCTATCTGCCGGTGACGGTTCGCAGTTCCTTACTTACCCGCTTTAACCTCTTCTTCGTAATCCGTTCCGCAGCGTAAACTCTGTCACCCAGATCCATGATGTTTTAATCCTTGTTCTTTGTACGTGTATGGGAGATGCTACTATATCCAATAAAAGAGCGATGTGCGTCACTAATAAACCACACCGAGTAATGTAACACCATATGTACCGAAACTAGATCGGACACCACACGGCACTCTTTAATTAAATTTGGATGACACACGTAAACACGACAAAACGACCAAGACAATTGTCGTTTTAACAAGGCAAACGTTGCGTTAATTTCAATGAGTGCTCCGAATTCTCCGTTGGCGTTTTGGAGCAGACGTTACACAACATGAAATACGATGACCACGTGTTTCCGAAGGGCGATCAATTCGATCGCATCTTCGACGTGTTAAACATTTTCAATGAAAATTGTGTGAAGCAAGATGCGGCACGTGTTGTCTCGAATACGAGAACACTCGGCATTGCTCGATGTTTTCCGCACTGATCGGAGTCGACCGACGGTGATTAGAGTGGCTGCTATTTCAGCGGCGAGGCGGCAATGCGCCCGATGTTTTTTGAAAGGCCAGTAGTCGCGGTAAGACCGGCGAACACGAGCGAAGTCGGCGTACACGCACGTCCCATCGAGAAGGGAATTTCAGGCGGCACAGTTTGCGCACCGTGAGTTTCTTCTTCGTGTGTTCAACGCACAATAATCTCGCGTACGATATTCGTCGAGCAATCGGGCCACTCGACTGCGTTTCGTCTTTTTTCAAGTCGTGTACGGACTTGGTGTCTGTGTTGGCCGGCAACACGTTTTCTGCTTCTGCTGGTGCTGCTGCTCCCTTCGTGCAAGATCGGGGCTCGTGACGTCAGCGATTTCCCCTCACCTCGTAAACACCAAACATGGCCGTCGTACGGATATACGCTGGTCGAGTGCGTCCCAAGCTGATGGTGAAAATTGACGTCGATATAGGCACTAGCGACTTATGAATCCGCGAATGAAACGCGGAAAGACGTTTGGAAGCCCTGTGAACACCGGACAGGCTTCCTATATGCGAATATTCGAAAACTGGAGCGATCGACTCACAGCGTCTAGTACATTCTGCAGATCGAGGCCGACTAGAGCCGAGGTCTGCCGAACTCCCCTCGCAAGCTTAGTGGACTCGCCCGACCCGCTCGAGGTTAGGAGGGGAGGGGGTAACGGTAGAGAAAGACTACCGAAGGAGGAGGGAGAAGCTCTCAACGGTACGTGCGCCGCATACGAGTAAGAGCGAGAGAGAAAGTAAAACAAGGAGAGTGTGATTGAGTGACCGAGGACGAGAGGGGAAGGGAGAAGAGGGAGAGAAGAGCAAGCGCAATGGAGGTAGAAAAGAGAGACGGCGCGACCAGGAGCGCCGTCCTCGGAACAAGAAAGCTGCCTGCCTGCCTGCCTGCCTGCCTGCTTGCTTGCTTGCCTGCCTGCCTGCCTGCCGCCTGCCTGCTACCCAGCCACCCCAAGTTCCCTTCTAGGTACGTGTATGCGTGTGTTTGTGTTGAGAGCAGTCGATGCGACGTTGCCAACTCTATTTCGTCGATAGCACCGCACCAAATGTCACTGGCGTTCTACCGATAAACTCCGGAATTTACTGTGTCGTCGTAACGTTCACTATTTTCCGTTATCGTTGGAACGAATTAATCCTTGTATCCCTCCATAAATGCACTCGCGATCGTATCATAAACGTTTACGAATCAAAATACCGCTCTTGCTGTGTGTTCGCGCCCACGATGTGGCAACACTGTATCCTCTTGTGACGTACTGTCACACACTACATAACACTACCGCACGGCATCGGTCGCCGCATACGATGCTTTTACAGTAAACAGACGCTTGAAACAGATTATTCGACGTAATCGCGAATACGAGAATGCTCCGTATCGAGTAAGAACAGCGTAGAATGAAGCGCGTCACAATACACGAGCGGCGCTCCTCTCGTGAAACGTGTGCAACCTCAACGGATCCCGAAACGAGAGTGTCCTCTCCCGTGCCGACGAACACACAGGGAGAGCGGCTGAGCAATGGAAAAGGAGAGGGATACAAAAAGAGCGAGAGAGTTAGATGGGGAGCTTGCTCCTCTCCGTCCTTCAGCGTAAATAGCAGGATAAAAAAGCCACGACGGTGGCGCTCGATTGGTGAGATTCTCGAGGCGCCACCAACGCTCCGAACCCCGCACGACGGGTCGACCAATCGGCGAGTGGCACAGCCCACGTCGGTTCCCCTCGACTCGTCGAGAAGGCGGGATCACGGACAATCGTCGGTCGACGGTTCAGTTCGAGGTCCCCATCGCCGCGCCGCGCGCGTCCCTGCAGTACCACAGACACCAGTCTTTCCGTTTTGCCGCAACTTTCCCCCTCTGTATGTTAAAACAGAGACAGACTCTTTCTCCCTCCCCATCGCTCTTCCCCTCGTGCAGGAAACCCGAATAGCGGAGCGCTACTGTGCCACTGGTCTTCGTCACGTCTGTTTCTCTCTCTTTCTTTCTCTTTAACGCCCACGGGTGTGTAAAGTCGTATATATTGTATGTGCAAGCGTAGGGCGGGCACGTGGGTGAGGGGTACGAGGGGAAAGTATATATATACATTTACATATATACGAGCGCACATCGTCACAACCATTTCCCCTCTCTGTGCCCGCGTCGGCGGTGGCCGACCACCGTCGGTATTGAAATATCCTGGCCCTGGAGAGCCAAGTAGCCGTGCGGCGATGCCGCTTCTCTTTATAACCACTACGTTCTGCACCGAGACCGATCTTCCTCTCCTGTGCTCTTCCCCACCCTTTCTCCGTGCATGCACCTTTCCCCTTTCTTCGTCTCTTTGTCCATGTTTTCCGCCCTTCTCCTTCCATCCTTCACCTTTCTCCGTTCACCCTGTGGTTGTAACGCTCGTAATTCGTCTGTGTTGCCTGATGTGCCCTTGCTCGAATGGATAGTAGCGGGATGGGAGTTGCGTACCCTCTTTCACGAGTTCGCTTTCCCCTTCTCTCTTTTCCATCCGATTCGAGGTTTGCCTCCCTTTGAAGCTCAATCAATCGTCGTATGAAGTGCTGCGCAACCCTGTGGCCGATGCACAAAAGTAAAAATGCGAGCGTGCGTCGCGCGTCGGATTTTCTCGAGTCGCGCACATTGCGCAACCATGGAATATACAAAGCCAACGTAGATGGCGTGCCACGGGTACGCAACTTATGGCTCGTCCCCTCCTTTTCCTTCTTTCCCCGACGTAAGCAATCCTCTCCTTTGTTCTTCGTCATCATCTCTGCTGTATTTCGCGCCTTTAAAGTAACATCCTCGATCTTAGTAAGTACCTTTACAGCAGGTTCTTAAGATTCTAGTCGACTGAAGTAATCTTGAAATACACAATTTGTAAATTCAGATTTAAAATTTACTACAATGCACATAACGCAATTGCGATGCGTGCCCAGTTTTTAACATGTTTAAAATTACAGTCGAAGTTCAATAACGTTGGTTTGAAACCATAGTCATGCTACAGTGCACACAGTAAGCATCGATAAATACCGGATGAGAGCTGTTTTAATTTTAGAATATGATATCGATTACGTAATGAGTAAATTAATCTCCTGTTCCTGTAATTGAGATACTGATCATGCCACTAACGAGCATACCATTAAGATTCTAATTCAATTACACTATATTATTGAGAACTAACCACTTATCGACTAAGTTCTTGATCTCTGGGTATATTTAATATGATAGATCGGAATCGATATGGTAAATTACGAAAACACGAATTGCATAGATGGCGGGATACGCGTATGTCTAGAAAAAGTGTGTCCTATAGTGCTCGTCGCTCCATGTATGGTTAGTGGCAGTAAGCTGTACCAGAGATCAACAAGTCTGTTTCTATGGCTTAAACGAGGAGATATGATTCTATAAAATAAACAGAAAGAGCGAAAGTGCTTAGAAGCAGCGTAGTGACCAAGAGATGGCGGCGAGCTAATTAAAGCTGCGCAAGAACGTGATAAGCAAGGGCAAACGCGCACGAAGCCGCAGCGCACGCGACCAAAGATACGGGAGAACGATGAGGCCACTGATTCGCGTTTCTCATTATGCGGGCCGTCCATCGCGCACACGGCAACGTCGAAGGCAGGGCGTGGCGCGTTCTTCGTGGATCTAAATCGAATGGTACGTCGTATGTCTTTCTAAAAATCTGTTATCGAACATCGAAACCGCTCCCGTAGTGCATGACATTCTCTCATGGATTGCTAGGATGCCACGCATCTGTACCGCGCTAGGTCCGTGAACTATTCGATTCCTTGTATGCATCTGTCTACCGCGTTTAAGGTTAAAAAGATGCAAAGTGTATAGGTTAAGAAGTAACGACTGCAGTACATCGGTCGGTAATTGGTAATGCGAAGCACGAATAAGCTTTCGATTGTAAATACAGCATCTACATTGTCTGAAACATCATGTCGGCGCATATCGATTGCAAATGTCACGAAATTATTCCGAGTACAACAGATTTCAATAACCATGTACACGAACAATACGTGGCAACGTTGCGTCGTTTCGTTGTCGTGAATGTCGTCAGATCGAATGTTTCATATTTACGATCATCCTTTTTACCATTTTAATAGCATATAATTATCTGCCAGGGTTGCAAACTGTTCAGTGCTGCAAGCACGTACGATCGATATGTTCAACATATGTATATCGATATATCGCTCCTAGATCTCACTTCATGTTGTAGCAACATTCACGTAGTGGAAGGAGATCGAAGATGTATCGACTAACTGCAAGTGGAATCTTCCGTGCAACGGTCGTTCTGTATTCATTTGAATAGTTTATATGGTAACTCGTATACCGCGATCGACCGTTGACAGATCAATTCGCACGTTGAAAAAGTACGTAGTGAAAATGGTGTCCTTTGTGGTTCAGTCGTGTAAGAAATTGATGCAAAGATCGTTCGAGCAGTTTTAACGACGCGCGTGGTGCTTCGAGAGAGAGTGGGAGAACCGAGTTCAAGCAACAGTCAGGTTGGAAAAAGTGACCATTTAATATCTCAGAATCCGCTAACGATATCGGGATGAATCCTTTTGCATATCATTCTCTACCGTGTTTCATGTTTAGTTATATAACCTTTATCCTCGATCGATGGGTAGTTTTCGAGAAAACTGATATTATAGCTTAGACCGGTGGAGACATCTTCAGTCGGGTTTCGAAGGTACGGACCCTGACTTTTTTCCATGTCGCATACCGAAATGTTTCCAGATCGAAAAGACGCTTGTCGTGCGTGCATAATTAACATGGTGATTAGTTTTACAGAAATGTTCGAACGACGTCCAATTAAACAAATCCGTTACAATTATTTCGATGTCTTCGTTCCTGCGACGTTATTGATGGACTCTCGATGCACGTTTATAATTCCATCAATCGAAAGGATAAGAAAGAGGTTAGGACATAAATTACTTATGACTTCTCAATTATCGTTTGTCGCTTCACTTAAGCGTTTCGTTTCGTGCAAAACCGCGTTATCGATTTACTTCGCGGCCATATGCATTCTGTAATTCGTAACTGTTAAAGGATTAATCGCGTGTCAACCACCGATAAACACAATGATCCAATTATGTACGAGAAGAAACGTTTCTAAAATTGATTATTATTTCCGAACGTCTCGTAACTCGAACACGCAAATTCGATAAATTGTACGAAATTAACGAAACGTGTATTGTGGATTTACAAACTTTTGTCATCGACCAGGATCTTCAATCGGTATGTGCTATTTTAACGTTTTCCAGGATCGCTGTGGCAATTTTATAGTACGAACGATAACATCCTGATTCATGGATAAACTTTGTTCAATTCGTGTAGGTTAACATCCTCCTCCGCGAACGAGTGTAGTATGTAACCGGGTGAAGTGGTACTTGCGCGTAGTAATTTGCAACTATTTGCGCGTTAAACGAACGATACTTGTTCAGAGATTTGTTACCGCAGCTTTTCAAGTATTCGTGTATCTTTAAATATCATGGATATGGAATACGTTTAACCTGGTTATTCGGTTCGGCTTTACTTGGTTTGAACTAACTTCCTATAGCCATAAATATAATATTTATTAATTTTATTCTTTATTGGATCGTCAGGTTTGTTTTCAATGTATTTCCGCAGCTAACGTCATGATAATACATCAGGTACAATTAAATTTCCATTAGCTGCGGTTTATCGTCGAACCTCTGTTATCTGATGCAGACAAGTATATTCGTTCTAAGAAACATTTTCGTTTACACAGAGAAAAGACATGGCGCTTGGAAATGATTCTTCCTTTTTCCGAAAGCGTCAAACGCTCCGTGAAGTAAAGCACTTGTATAGAATTGATACGAACAAATTGCAGACACGTATATAACAATTTCACATTAATTTCTCCTTGAGTCTCGATTATCTGCTGGATCTCGATTCAACCAATTCGCCTCGGTCGCGATTAAGTCGGTTAATCGAGCTCCAGCTGTACATACTTCTATCGAAACAATACTACACACGCGCGCATTTTGCAGTCAAAGGGAATCTCATTAAATTTCCTGCCGTATCGTACAAAGCGTACTGAACTTTTTTGTTTCGTTCTCTCGCCGCCATGGCGTATTAAAATGTTTCAATGATACCGTCTGGTACAAATACCCGAGCCATTGTTGGAAACGCTATATTTTTGGCAGTATCGTAATAGCGAAAGCATAAATAAAGAAGTGGTAATATTTTTTTTTCTCCATTGTTCGAGGTTTCACGTTCCTTTGTGTCCGTATTATACATTTTCCATTACACATCCTGGTATTTAAACCTCGCACGCTAGATTGTGGATTTTACGTATTCATGGCGCATGTAAATGTGAAAAGTGTATGTAGAATGTATGCAAAATAATTTGTTAATATTGTTACATTAATTTACGAAACATATTGCGCATACAATTTACATATGTTTTTCGCGTTAACGTACGCCATAAATGTATAATATCCGCGATATACGAAACGTTAATGATGCAATACGTTCGTCAATTTCGCGCAAGGTTCGGAACAAATCGATGAAGATTATTAATGTCAAATTTCATTGAAATTGGCCATGTCGGCTTGATGTTCGGTTATATCGATTTTCAAAGCCGCGTAAAAGTAAATTCGCGAAAAAAAAATAACAGAATCGATTACTCTTGTTCCGTATCGTGTTAAATTTAAACCGTGTAAAAAGAGAATCGAGCATATCACTAGCAGATTAGTTGGCGTATGCAGGCTCATGCAGAACGGACATGTTTTTTTTCGATTTGTTCAACATTTTTGTTTACAATCCAGTTCCCTCACCCACACCGACGAGATAGCACGACGATACACGGTGACTCACGAAATTGATCGCACGATAACATTGTTTCAAATTTGTTTATATTAACTACAATTTAGTTAACAGTTCTTCCCATTAACTACAAGTGTACATCTTCGACAAGTAAATTATTATATTTTTCTCAGGATCAAATTAAAAATATTATTACGAGTAGAAATTATTTTTTTTTACTGCTATCGAACTAAGGAAGCGTAACGTTTGTTACATCCCTTCAAATATGTGATTTTAAATATTTGTTTAGCCTTCCTGCCCGCCCTTATTCTGTTAAAAATATTACGTATAGAAAATTATGCGTTTTATAAATTTCCGTTGACGTTACGAGAGTTGGGAAAGGGTTGGAGGGTTGAACGCAGTGGTTGATCGCCGTCTTTGCCGCTAATACGATTTCCCTTTGCATTTTCAGGGAACGTTCTCCCATCGCGATAACGTGTACCAGTCCGTGGTGTGATCGAGTGGTTCTCGTAGTCGCGGGCGATTCGTCAAGTACGCGGGCAGACACCCGGTAGACGAACACCTACCCACGTAAGTTCGATTATTAATTCAGCGGCGGGAGCGCGCGGCGCAGAGGCTTGGCGCAATGCACCGCTCTTTATACGGAGCGACGCACCGCGCCTTGTGTACGAGTCACGTACAGCCGCCTGGCGTCTGCGTGTTCGCGCGCACGTACACGACGGCAAACTCGCGCTCGCCACGATGTTACAACCATGAAGCGAGTGTATACGTCCGTCGCGTTATCGGGCCCGTGTTATCGCGCGAACTCCTCTCACGGCGCTTAAGTGCGCTCCGCTGCCTCGCGCGGAACGCCGCTGCTCCCACGTACATACATACACACACACACGCGCCAGCGAAACCGACTAAAAAATCTCGCCGCGTTCGAGGCCCTGTACCGATTAACCGGCCGAAAGAACATCTCTTCTAGGTGAGTTCGACTCTGAATTGTCCAGAATATCGAGCCTTTCGAGGCGATCATTTGTTTCAATAATTTTTGGCATAAAACTCTTACAAACATGTACGAACACTACTTAACCCTTTGCACTCTTAGGTTCGACCACCTGCTACTGACTCGAACAGACTTTCTTACGAAATAGATAGTAAATATCCAAGTAAACATCTCTTTGTTTACATTTTGCGCTTATGTATTTTCTCCTATCACTTTAACGCAATAATATCGTTGCATTCCCTTAGAGGGTACATCCAAATTCTTTGTCCCTTCAGATGGGACAGGCGAGTGCAAAGGGTTAACATTGAGCTCTCTTGTTGGTGATATCGTCTAACAAATTGTATCGTACCTTCGATTCCATAGATAGAATATGTGTACATTTACGTTTCTATTAGGCCTGAAAGGGGTTAATAAGCAATCTTTAAGTTAAGTAGGTCCCATCGGGGAAAGACTTTCGATATTCAGGCGTTGACACTGTTCAATTAACAACGACAGAATGCTTCCTGTTCGTTAATCTAGATGAAATTAAATAAGTTAACGGCAATGTTTGCGATGACGTTGATTGAAACGATTCTGATGGAAGTGGGAAATATGAGATGCTAAAAACTAGACATTGAAGTGCGAGGTGTTCGTCCGGGGAAAGTTCTCTAGGCACTGATTAACTAACGGTGAAATCGATGACACTCGATTAATTGAGTAATTAATGACGACTTAATGGCGTTTCTTCTAATTCCAACAAAAGATAGCAATGCAGGCTATTAAAAGCGAGGCGTTGATAATGATTCCAAGTTATAATAGGCGCGGCTGAAAAGATTTCCGTTCAAAAACTTCCGCTCATTACTTAGCAGAGGAAGAGCGTTCTTTTATTCAGTCATCTCGAATGATATCTGTTAATAATTGATGATATTTAACGGGATAATTGTTTGCCAAATTGTACCGAGTAGTTAATGGCGGAAGAGACAACCTCTGTAGTTAAGTTGACGTTAATAATGATTTAGTAACGTATACCTAAGTAATATTCGATCGAAACGAGTAATGTCGGGCACTGAAAAGTCTGCAGTTGTAATAATTAACCCTTCAATCTAGGAATAATCTCTCAAAAGTCAGAAACGACATCCTTATTCATGCAATCACTCGAGTAGAGACAAAATCATTTATTAACACAAGAATATAGCAAACGTTTGTGCATCGTCGAAAGATTACGTTGCGTAAATCGCAATGGTGGATCGTACGCGAAATTTCATACCTATGCAAGTACACAATGAAATCTCATATTACGATGTACACATTGCCTAAACACTGTCCCTTCTAAATAAACAACATACATCTACAGGACACGAATCGATGCATTTGAGTTACAAGTTAGGAAACTATACGACCCTAAAGGGGTTGATGCACCGAAATGTTTGCGTTTTTGAGTGGATGTTCTGGCCCCCTAACGGGGACTGATCTGTACAGGGCCGTGGTTTTATGGTAAAAGGGCGGTTCTCGGCGAGAAAGTCGATAGAAGTCCGAAAGATCGACCGTGTCGGAGCACGGCTCGTGATTTCGGACGGCGACGACCGAAATTTACGAACGTCGAGGACGACTGCTGGCTGGCAGCCTCGCGCGATAACGCGTGGGAAGAAGCCGAGGACGTTCCTTTTTGTCGCGCGAGGAATGTCGCGGTGCACGCATGTGGTAGCCTAGCGACACGCCGTGAGCGCGACAGATACAACGAGAAACGTCGCGCGATAAACACCGACGACGGGCGTCGTATCAGCGTCGAAGCGTCGCTCTTACTCGATTTTCAAGTGGCTTTCTCTCGACGGTAGGTGGGGAGAAGCCGCGTCGCTGATAATAATCGCTATAGCCCGCGGTTAGGTAATCTGCCACAGGGAAAAAACTGTCCACCGTGGATTTGTGGATTCATCCACGCTGATAAGAACTGCCTTTCGAGTTGCTTGCGTATCGCTTTGGGCAGATCGACATGGTAATTCCGCGGCGATTTCGAAGCAATGAGCGAAATTATCGGAAGGGGGCCAAGTGCCAAAATCTCAGAGATTGGGATTCTTCCATGATTAGGTGTTACGGTCCCATTGCCAATTACTGCAGGGAAGAGATATGTCTTGGCAGTTAAACAGAAAGTGTTTAACGTTGTTCCCTTGTTCGATGTTGTGTAATGGTGACTTAAATAATATGTCTTCTTTTCGTAATTTACCGTGGCACTTGGCCACGATGATACTTACGCTACACGATTCTAGACGTCGCAAGTTTTTCTAGAGTCAGCCTCCACTATTTCAAGGAACCGTTCATTCCATTCCGTTCTGAATTTAGATTCATAAACGCCTTTCGAACTAATGGCTATTTTATATAAATAATATAAATAAATAAATATTTAAGTTTGTATAACCGAAAAGATACGGGCATAATATCGGTGTTGCGTGTTTCGGTAAAAGTCCCAGATTTCGCGTACACCCTATAGGAGCCAGAGGCGGCCAGCGCTTTGTTGCTCGATTTTGACCCTGGCGCGGTGGGTCCTACCATTTTGTTAGCTCGGCAGGTTCCAGGGGCCTTCCCTCGAAACACGTCCCGGCAGACCAGCTTCGAGCTGGAGCTACATTCCCCGACGCCTCGATTTGCTCTATTCTCCACCCCCATTTTCTAGATCTCGTTTCCGATGCGTCCAACGTGCTCTTCTGATTTTTCTCCGCGGAACCATAATTCTTTTATCCCCTCACTGCGTAAATTTTATTTTATCTTCCAAAAAGAAATTATTCCCTTATAAATCTACGAATTAATTAGTACTCGAACGAAGCAAGCGGATGTTTTGTAAGAAGTGTATGTGTTTGAACCATGGGACCGCTGGCGTCGATGGTGTTTAGTCTAAGCTAGAATAGGTATCGAGTGAGTAAGCTGAAATGCGCCTACGCCTCGAACGTGCATTTTTTTAGATCATTATGAAGATAGGCCTAAACCTAAACACCTTACTCGATACCTACTCTAGCTTAGACTAAACACCATCGACGCCAACGGTCCCATGGTCCAAACACATACACTTCTTACAGTTTCTATAGGAAAACATAGAAACATACATACATCGAGTGCAAATTTTTACGCGGTATGCAATGTCTACGTGTGGTGTGTTTTCTAGTAGTTAGTTTTTAACTTTAACCGTGGTTCCAAACCGTCGATCGTCCAAAAAGCTTCTGCTACCGGTCGTTGGCGTGAAATTAATTACATTCCAGCAGCGAAGCGGTGTGATTATGGACTGTTGCTTTCAACAGCTCGCGTTCGGCCATTAAAATGCTTAGTGCGTCAAAGAAATGGTGTCGACACTGCGTCTGACTCAAACCTGGATAGATCGTGCGTCAATATCCATTCTCGGATTTAACGCTTTCCATTATTCTAACGTAGAAGGAATTATGGGCTGAAATCGTGCCGAGTCGAGCTGATTTCCGGGTTTCGCGATCGTTTCGAAGATCGCAAAGTGTATCAATGCACGTTTTCAAGATCCAACAGTTAGTTACTTAACAGTAATATGAAAACTACATTGTGCATGTTATAGGCTATTTCTTTTATCTTTATTGCGTAAACGACGTTCTACAGTTACCCGTAGATTGATACTTTAGCAATCACCACTAGGGTAACTGGATTTTCGTTCCCACTTATCGTAATGATAACCAGATTCTCCACTTTCACGCATAATTTCGCGATTAGGACGTATCGCGCAATCTTTGCTTCTGCGTTCCCCATTTCAGAGGATCGCACGTAATTTTCCATTGAATTTTTATTCCTCGTCGTACGCGAATGATTTGAAACGAAACGCAACGGTTCCACCAAGAAAATTGGCCCTCTAACGTTGCTTCTCTTTCTAATGACTTTCTACACCTCGTTTCTATGTGAACGAAAACGTATTTATAAAAACAGAATCAACCTGCTCCATACAATCGAAGATTACGCTCGCTCGTTACAAAATCGAAAGGTAAAGGAGCATTCCCGTTTCACGTTCTACGTATATAAATCATCACATATAAATCTTATTGTAATTATAATAAAGTATACGCACACGATACATAGCAACGTACACCTGTATCCATACATATAAGAATTTATCGTACATATCTCCGATCTCCAGGAAACTAATTCCCTCTATCGTTTGCAAGATTTCCACACGGAACAATAGACGGAAACGTACTCTTCCGCCTTATCCGCTTCATCTCTGTATTTATTACAATTTACAATAACTTTCGGTTCGTTTACGTGCATCGGGTCGTTTCAGGAGTCAGCTGTTCCTTAATTCAGTAAATTTCATTGTATAAAAATGTAATCGCATTCGCAGACATAATTAATCATGTATGCCGTGGCGCACCGCTTCGCGTACAACCGATGAATTTCAATCACGGCGCGATAACTCGAACACCGGCTCGGTTAAACGTAACTTTTGTATATTTGGCTCGACTCGATACGGATACACTGTTCCTCGACGGTTTTCTAAACTCTCCTCCGGCGATATTAGCCTCGAAAATGAAGAGCGTAGCCATGTTTGGCTCGTAATCCGTATCGCGAGTCTCGCTCGATGTTACAACGCGCACGGGGTTAA